GGATAATATTTGGCTGAGATACAACTATTTGAAAATCTGGAATCTGAGGGTGCAAAAAAATCTCAATATTGAGAAAATCACCTTTAAAGTTCTCCAAATGAAGTTCTTAGCAATGCATATTACTAATCAAAAATTAAGTTTTGATATATTTACGGTAGGAAATTTACAAAATATCTTCATGGAACACGATCTTTACCTAATATCCTAATGATTTTTGGCATAAAAGAAAAATAAATATTTTGACCCATACAGTGTATTTTTGGCTATTTCTACAAATATACCCCAGCGACTTAAGACTGCTTTTGTGCTCCAGGGTCACATTTGTGCATGTATAAGATCTGCAGAGTTACAAAGCTCAAAGTCTCCCACAAAAGGATTTATTCTGTCTAAAAGAGAAGGCTGATCCAGACCGGGCTAAAACGCCTCATTCAAACACGCCCCCCACAGTGGAGTCAGCTGTCTTAATCGCGGCTTGTGTACTGCAAACACATACCAGCTTCATCACTGTGTCTGTCACGCGACTCTGTTTCACTTTCGGGCTTGAACTGATGGTAAAACTAAGGACATTATTTACTGTCTTTACAGTTATGTTGAAAGCAGAAGCTCGCGTTTATGGTAAGGGGCGTTACATTTCCGACGCGTACTTGTGGTGTTCGGCCAATCACAATGCACTGGGTCAGCTGGCCAATCAGAGCAGACTGTGCTTGTCGGAAGGAGGGGCTTTGTAGAAAACGACGTGTTTGAGAGAGGCAGGGCATAGAGGAACTAAAATAATGTACAGTATTTGAAAAATAATGTGTTTTTTGAACATTAAAGCATGTCAACATATTCTGTTACACCAAATACACAAAATAATGAGCTTTAAAATAGCATCATATGACCCCTTTCATACCCATTTGAACTAATAATAAAAAAAGCATCAATCCAACTAACCCAGTTTGCCTGTACAACTTGAAAAACTCAATATAGTGATAAAACTGCACTGAGATGCATATTCTTACAAGTTAAAAGTGGGTGATTTGGGTGACTGAGAGGTTATATGTTTTTAAATGACTTCACCCACTTTTCTTTTCTTTTCTTTTCTTTTCTTTTCTTCACCCCAAAATTAAAGTCAGTCAGTCATTATTTTCTCACCCCAGTGTAAGGAATTTAACTCATTAATTCTTGATAAGGGAATTAATCATTAATTTTATTTCTAGCTCAGGTTTTGAAAGGACTCGGATCTGAAAATTCGAGGTCCACCTGATTAAACTGATTTCAAATTTAAATGGTTTACACTATCAGCTACTCGGCCAGCGAGAAGTTAATGTCAGTGTATATTACCAACTTAAATCTTTGTATTTCCCTGGCCACGGTCAACACAATTATGATAATTTGTAAG